GATGTTTCTTCTTGGTTTTAAAGAAGCGGAATATAAGTGTAGTGCACTGTAACAGCCAAGAGCCGTTCCAGAAACGCTGAACAGGAACTGGCCTGAGATTATTAGTTTTTTCTAAGCTGACTAGTTTATTCTGAGCACCTGCTTATACGCATTTGAATTTTTAAACCATTTTATGAGTTAAACAGTCTCCTTGTAACCGCTAACATCATTGTCATCAAGACTATGGTCTCGCCGTTATCGTCTTCCTCACCTCAAGCGTTTCAGCTGTCTTTCAGTTTTATACCTCTATCCATGACTTTCACATGACAACTGCTCTTGTCAGTTTTTGACACTCTTTTTCATCCCAATGATCCAAATGTAGTCAAGAAGATTTTACTGGCCTTACTGCTTGTTCCTCTGTTTAGTATAATCGTCATCACTGTTTTCACTGCCGTTGTTCTTGGTGTCGAATTTGCCACCTGGCTGCAACGGTGTTAGTCGTTGACAGCTTTGTTACCAAGTTGTTGTCAATGGGAGCTGTATAGAGAACGGGATAGGTACTCTAAGTGAGTATCAATTGCAGAAAAACGAGATGCCTCATTTCTTCTTAAAAAAAACTTCTTTTTTGTCTTTAACCATCCATTTAAATTTGTAGAAAGCATCCAATTCTTCATATTTTTTCTGGTATTTAACCAGTCAGGTCCAATCAATTTAAGTTTTTGCTGTTCAAAAAAAAAATAACTAATTTTTTTCTCAAATTAAAAAAGGGAATAGTGTCTTTCATGTTGTCCAATAAAAATTCTTCGTCTTCTTTTTACTCCTTTCCTTTTTTTTTTTTTTGAATTTATTAAGTTTTTTTTTGGCAGCGTTGCAGAGAAACCAACAAATTTGCACAATGTGTGACTGATGAGGAACAACAGAGAAGCGCTGCTGAATTTTCTCATTCATTCTCATCGACGGTAAAAACCATTTGTCGATGAAGAGCACAAAAAGCAGCAATATCGGTCGCTACAAAACTGGAAAACTCTGAAGAGATAGAAAAAAATTAACCACCCTTTCTCTTTACCCTACCGTTTTTGTAGTAAGTAGTACAGTTGTCGCTTTATACTGATCTGCCATATATCCACTACTCGTTTAAATCGTCTTCACCTATATCTGCCCTATTACGATGCTTAAACGGCAGCGAACCTCCATAACTGCTTTCTTCTTTTTTACATTCGATAACTATCTGGAATCTGAAAAAAGTCAAGTCTAGAAGAAAAAATATTCAAAACCTCATTACTCAAGTCAAATAAGAATCTAAAGAGATTTATTAGCAGGTGCTAAAAATTTTGCAATTTTTTTTATTGACGAAAGTACGAAGTAAGCAGTCAACTATTTATAGCGTACTCGCTTTTAGCCCAGGTTCCTATTCACTTTTCACTGTTAAATAAATAATACAACAACCTGAAAAATAAGCAACATAAGCTTTGTCAGCTGATGAACTACTCCACAGTAATGGCCAGTGGCCACCAGCTTCGTATATTATTTTTAGTGTTCATGAAAATGACCAGAGGATAGCAGTAAAAATACGTACAAGCGCCGTCATTTCTAATTTCCATTTCGTGGCAGGACCA